CATTCTCTACCACCAGAAAACCAGCTCAGTAAAATACTTACGCTACCTTTACCTCCAGAAAATGGTTTGCAACTCCGAAAAAAACCCCAACTATTCTCTGGCTAATTTCACCCTTCCTGAAGTACCCATACCCACCAAAATTGGGGGCTGTCTGTCTAAAGCTCTGTAATGCAGAAGTCAGCTATCCAAATGTGCAGGCATGTTGTTGTAGGCCACCTGAAGCCCAAGAAAAAAAGCAGTTCTGGGGCAGGTGGAAACTTCTGATCCTTTGAAATGCAGTGAAGGCAAAGACCAAAGTTCTGTGCTGTTCTTGCAAGGCCACGGAGACAAATATTCTCCCTCTCACTCTCCTCTCCTGGCCCTCAGACTGGCTGGAAGGTACAGCACCAAAGTGCTTGCCTTGACTGCCAAGGATGGCACATTCCTGTGTGCAAAAATTAAAATGATTTAACCATAGGTTCGACGTTACTGTGGGACAGGCTGAAAGTATTCCTGTACCCATCTCAGCATGACAACAGGAACACTGAAAATATAGCAGTTGTTCAATAACGAACCACCAACAATGTCAGTGCAACTGAAATCAGCTTGCAAGAAAGGGAAAGTCTCTGAGAAAATAATATAAAAAAAAGGCACTAGAAACAACTGCATGAGATGAACATGAAAACACAAGTATCTTATGAAGCTCTTTGTGCCACCAGAACCTACAGGTAACTACAAATTCAACCCAAAACTGACAAGATTTCAGGAATCTCCCTTTTCTACCAGTGCTGACAGCAAAATTTACTACTTGACTCTGAAGATGTGTGTTTCGGGGCATAAAATCACTAAATCTGAAATAAAATGTTGTTTTCTTACAAAGAAAAACAAATTTTTCTTTATGTAGATGCAATTTAGTACTAAATTCACCATATCCTACTACTTTGCTGCAAAAATGCTAATACCACCACACTCAGAAAATTAAAAATGAATAAGGCAAATGAAAGCCTATACTCAGTGGAACATTTGGGAGAAAAATGCATTTCACAGCACGGAGTCAAGCATACACGACTTTCATTTATTTAACAGTGTCATCATGAGATTCAGGCATCTCCCCTTGCAAGAAACTTTCATGATCAGAGACTAAGAGGTTATCAGTAGAAGCATTAAAAGACTTTTGTAATTCTGATTTGTGATGATTAACTGCTCAGTGTAGCAGAAAAAATGGTTAAATGGAGTCAGCGGCATCACATGTTTCAAGAACAACAAATAGAACTGCAGAAGAACAGGTTGGTCTCATTTATTTTGTGATTAAAAGTGCAGGGAAATGTACACAGTGGTACCAACCCACAACAGCACTTCTGAGAAGTGTTGTCAGGGATGAAATAAAATACATGCATTCATTTTCCCCATAGCCACTGTCTCAGCCAAATGACTGAGACACAAAGATATTCCATTAAATTCACAAAGATGCTCCCTTTTGGCTTGCAAGCATTATAACGCTTCATAGGTAGGCTGAAATCAGCGGTTTGAGTCCTCTCCAGACCTGTGCACACAGGACTTCACTTCTTGTGTCTCAGACGAGGGAGCCTGTACTGACTCCTAGACTATTTTCCGAAGATCCAGAAACACTGTGAACTAGTACCATGAGTGCTCCCTCGTTGCTGCTGGGTTCCATCCCGTCTAGCAAAAATTACTCCTCTCATGCCATTAAGTGTCAGGACAGGAGCAATATGCAGGCAACACACAGCAATCAGATTTGCTACTGTAAATCCTCTTAGCCAAACCAACGAATTGGCTGTCAGAAAGTGAAGCAACAAGTGTCTTGCAGAGGAGAAACAAGCAATCGTAAGGCAGGACTGGCATTAGCTTTGACTAAAGTCATTTCTTCACAGTGGAGCTGCGGGATGTCAGTGTTTATTCCTGAGAGCAAAGTGTAAAGAGTGAAGCTGTAACTTCAGCCACAGTGAATGCACGCAGAGCTCCCTCCCACAAAGCACAGCTGTGTGGGTTCTTTCCTTTGTGGGGTTTTTTTTGGTTGTGGGTTTGGCTTTTTTTTTGAGACTACAAGCATCACAGTATAAATAGAAATGGCTGCACTTGCTCCTCTCACTGAAATCCCTGGGACATTCAACTGGATGAAGCATCTCTTCCCAGAGTGTGACAGTCTGAACGACAGGCATCACCCATTCGGGTACCAGAAGACAGCGGAGGATACTCACACTCCAAGTGGTCTGATCAGCAGTGCAATGAAAGGACAGAGTCTAGGGACACTCTGAGGTCACCTTCTGCCTCATTTACTAGCTTTCTAGTAATGACCAGTCTGCAGAGTCAGCTACTAGCTGAAGCAGAAGTCTGAAACAAGCCTGCAAGGAGAGGAAAGTCTCTTAGAAAAACATGAGAATGAGAAATAAAGTGAAATTACTCACATAAAAACATTGGGCTGTGCAGCAGTCAGGAGGACAGAAAAAGATCCCTCTGACACATGCTCTGGTTGACAAGGTCTGTGAAGATGATGAGTGGACTGGAGCATGTCTCCTGTAAGGAAAGGCTGAGGGAGCTGGGCTTGTTCAGCCTGAAGAAGAGAAGGCTGAGAGGGGACCTTATCAATGCATATAAATATCTGAAGGGTGGGTGTCAAGAGGACAGGGCCAGACTCTTTTCAGTGGTGCCCAGTGACAGGACAAGGGGCAACGGGCACAAACTGAAGCGCAAGAAGTTCCATCTGAACATGAGGAAGAACTTCTTCACTCTGAGGGTGACGGAGCACTGGAACAGGCTGCCCAGGGAGGTTGTGCAGTCTCCTTCTCTGGAGATCTCCAAAACCTGCCTGGATGAGGTCCTGTGCAGCCTGCTCTGGGTGACCCTGATTTGGCAGGTGGGCTGGACTGAATAATCTCCAGAGGTCCCTTCCAACCTCCACAATTCTGTGATTCTGTAATGAGCCCAATGCTAAGTAAAATATATTAAGATACATTAAAATAAAAAATACATTAAATAATTAAATAATGTATTAATAATACAATACGATAATTCAAATAATGCAAATAAAGCATTAAATTATGTATGACTACATACTACATCGAAAACAAAAAGAAAAATGTTTTCCCAGGAAAGTTTGATCTATTGTCTCCTTGAGGTTGTATGCAAAGATCACAATGAAGCACAGTGCAAAGAGCCTTGTGCTGTGCCTGACCAGTCCCTTTTCCAGCGGAAGCAGGGTAGTCAATGCAATGGCACAGCATAACCCCAGAAGAAGAGCTGACTAGCTTATGTCCAGCACTGGATCAAATAATCTAGGGTGATTACTGCACTGCTGCACTCAGGCTAGCATTTCTGCAGAGCTTGTATTGTATGAGATAGCCACATCAGCTCCACACAGCACTAAGCTGGAGGTCTCTTCAGCACCTAAAAACTTTATTTGATATTCATTAAAGTCTTTCATTCCTTCTGTTTAACATGGGCTATGGAAACTACAAAACCAGCATTGTTCACTTCCCGAAGAAGACTCCAATTTAGCTTTTCATAAACAAGAGTAAGTAGAAAAAACTTCTTCAGTCACTGAAAGGAACGAAAATGCTGATCCAGTGGAGCAAAACCTGAAAGGTTTGCCGCAAACTTTGCCAGAACAAGGATTTAAACAGAAAATCCAAGTAAAGAGCAAAATTCTTATTACCGCTTACCCACCCAATGCCATATCACTGAATCAAGGTACAAACCTCCCACTAACTTAATTATTACAGCATCAAGGCACAATAGTGAAACTCAATCTCCCTTTACAAACACACCTGTGAAAGTTACTTCCCTAAACAATGGCACTAAGTATATGGGGCTAAAGTTGGAGAATGTAGTATTTATTTTTTCATTTGCAAATCATCTCTCACTGCAGCACAAAGTAAAATGAAAGTCTTAACATTCAACTGAGTTTCAATGCGGAGAAAACTACTGTTATTACAGAGGGTTTTCATAAATTCATGACATAATCCAATTCAGAACCCCTGCTTGTTTTCAGAAAGTGTCCTGTACCAATAACTACAGCCTTTTCTGCAGATCCCTTTCACATTTCTTACCACATACTGTCTTACACTGTTTCATGCACTAAAATTACTGCAGACCAAAACTTAAAATGGACTACGGTACAGTATTCAGCTTTCACAGGTAAATAAATCATATACAGCTTTAGTTAACCTTTGAAAGAGATCCAAAGCAAAGTTAATTTAAGAAACAAATACCAAAGAAATAAAGAGAAAGAAAGAAAACAAAACAAAGTACATAAAGACACAGTCTGATAGCAATTTATCAATGTAATTACAAATGCATCAAAGCTGGCTGTTTTTGAAATTTGTAACTTTCTGCACAGAAAATGGAAACAAAGTTTGGCTAATCAGTGACTGCAATAATCTGTTTGGAATTCTACGTACTCAGCTAATTGAATATTTTCATCTGCTCAAAACAGCTACATTGCAGCTTACTGGCTGGATAGTAAAGAAGATTGGGTAAAAAAAAGTTAAGTGGATGTGACTGCCAAAAATAAAGAAATTATAAACAAAAAGGAAATAGCATTCATGTTTTTCTTTGTATTGAGCATCTTTCTGCTTATCTAAGCCCTTTAAAGCCCTTCAGCAGTCCTTTTAATATAGCGGCAAATAATCCTGCATACACTGCAAGTCCAACCCAGGTTTTACTCCAGCTTTATCCTGTTTTTTTTTAATTTCTGGTAATACATCACCTTTGCATTAGAGCCCCTCTGGAGCCCAGGCAGTTCACAACTAATCACTGAAGCAAGCGAGCAAGCTATTGTAAAAGGCTTAACAAGCTCAACCCCTCAATCATGCACTGTGATTACCTCAGAATAATTACTTCTGGAGATAACTGATGAAGATCACATTAGGCTAAGGCAAAACAGAAACCAGGCTAAGCGTAAATCAATTACAGCTGAAAAGAGAAGGGACAAAGATATTACAGGACTATTGCTATTACTTATGGAGCAGTCATGGAGAATTCACGTAATTTCTTATACTTACAATAGCTGTCGGAGTTGATGCCAGCACACAGTAGAGCACAAGAGGTGAAATGAAGCTCTCATCCTCTGTTCCAGGGTATGGTTTCATCAAATTTCCATCCTGACAGAAGAAACCTTGGATATGCACCTGAAAAGTATCAGTGCACTCGAAGTAGTAGGCGAGCAGAACAGTCCCAGCCATGATGACAAGCTGAAAATACAGCATAGTCACACAGTTGTTAGTTGTTTTTTTAACAGATGCAGCTATGCCTTTGAGCTACTCTACTCCTGCAGACCATCCCTCGCTGTACCATCACCCTGACAGCCCTTGCAGTACTGGTGTGTGAGTGTTTGTGTTTCTGCGCGTCCGCTTTGCCACATCTGTTACATAAACCTTTTGGCAAATGACACTAATGAACGTCTCAGATAGGAGTGGGTCTGTAACGCGGCGTTTAGACGGACGGGAGCTTTGACAGCTACTTTATCAAAGAGCATGTGAGTGTCAACGGCAGCAACGATCAATGACAGCCAGCAGGACGAGGGGCAGCACTGCAGCAGCCAGCAGCAGTGACAAGCTAAAACCTGAGCACAGCAGTAGGGAGCTGGAAAGGGTTATTAGAAAGGACGAAGCGAGCCAAAGCCAAAATGCTACCCCACTGCAGCTGCAAGCCCATGCTGGGGAATGCGCACTCTCTGCTAATCCTGAAGAGACCTCTGTGTCCCAGATGAAGACTCCTCCAGAGGGAAGTCGGCCTCCTGCCACTCACCTTTCCTTGGAGCCGCTGCTTACGAGCTAAGCTTTAGAAGTCTGCTCAGAAATCCTGACTCCCCGAACAACTGGTTGTGGCTCCTGTGCGCTGCCTGGCTTCCCCGCTCCACCACAACTGCTTTTGAAAAAGGCTCTGGCTTGAGTTTGGATCTTCATATTTACACATATAAACCGCAAGGAGACCTCTTTGTCTCTTTTTTGGCAGTTTATTTCTGGGTAAATGGGCTGGCTGGAAAACCTCAGCTATCAAGTTTTTTTGTATACATCCACAGTTACTGCGCATGTGCTATTGTCAGTGTCTGTGTCAGCTTCCCACACTGCTTTGACAACACATCTCAAAGCAATCTCACAAGGGTTGTCACTAATCTCACCTCATGAAACTAAGCGGATATAGTAATTCATCATTCTTGTCCCCTCTCTGCCAGACCACAAACAAAATCTCACATCACAATCCTCATCATTTACAAAAATAGCACTATTGATTTGGAGATTATGACAATTACAGGATCTGACTCAGAATCCTCTTCTTAGAGAAAAGTGCCTCCTGCCACTATTACAAGAGTTGTCACACATACAAGTTATCCTGCCACACCATAAAAAACAACAATAATAAAGAAAGTGAAATAAGAAACTTCAAAGCGGCTTGTTTTTAGTATTGTGTGTCCAAGATCTCTGCATCAAAACTGTGTTGCTGTGAGATTATTGTAAGAATAGACCTTTAAAAGATAATTTTGGCAACTTCATCTGAAAGATACACTTACAAGCCATCCATGCGTTCCTCTAGCCTAACTTTGCATGTATTCTCTGACACACAAGACAGCCATTAAAGTCATTGTATATCTGAGTGGATATTGGACTAAAATTAGAACAAAACATGAAATCAGATAAATCACTGATGAAAGCAGAAGAACACAGAGTCACAGAGTGGTCGAGGTTGGAAGGGACCTCTGGAGGTTGCCTGGTCCACACCCTCTGCTCAAGCAGGTACACCGTACACCATGAGCCCATCGCCCAAGACCATGTCCAGGCAGATTTTGAGTATCTCCCAGGATGAAGACTCTACAGCCTGCCAGAGCAACCTGTGAGATAGACCTAAGCAGGCCAAAGTTGAGACATTCTGCACCCTCCCCCATTTTTTACCCTGAAAATTAACAATATCATTTTGTAGCCAGATTCTAAAAAAAAAAGATTAACTCCACTCCTGGAAAACACAGCCTGGACTGCTTAGTGTTTTTAGCTCAACCAATTAGCTCTATGGATTCAAACGTCAACTTCTGCTGATTACAGAATTATGCTACAAAATGAAATTTATATAGACAAAGAACACAGACCCTTTTTAGAAGCTTAAGCAATCAGGAATCTACATAATTATTTCCCCAAAATATGCATATTGTCTCTTTCTCGTACCCTGATTTACAGCATAAATGTAATACATCAACACAAAAAGTTACTCAAGCACTTGTTTTCTGAAGATTTTGGCTTCCTTCTGACAATTCACTAACTTTAAGATCCAGAACTCTGAAATCTACTGCCCCACAATGAACTGCAGATGACCCAACTATGTATGGTCAGTACAGGGCAGCTCCTCTCTGCTGCTTCCTGCTCGCACTTCTCCAATGTCCTGCGGTGACCACTGGAGACAGCTGCAATGGGCTGGAAACTCAAAAGATTTAGTCTGTATATTTTTTTCCTGTGCAGTATCTACCTCTTAGGGTGTGTGAACAAATGCGTTGCCTCACGTAATTTTGTCTGGATAGTATAGTAATAGCTTTAGATGGAAATGCTAGAGTATTCAATTTCTTAAATGTGTAGCTGAAAGAGTACTTACTTTTTTCAACTTTCATGGTCTATCTTGACATTTTCAAGACCCCATACCTGCCCAAAAGGAATTTTTTTTTTAACAAATGTAATGCTAATTGCTGTCATTTGTGTACTCCCCAGAGACCTTTACAGCATTCTGGATCAGTCAGTAGGATTCCCTATAAACAAACATAGTCCTATAATTAGGGACTTAGACGACATGAATTTAACTCCTGGAGCAGCTATAGATCTCCTCATCAGCCCTGGGCAACACAATTTTATAAATTAACATCAGAGGAAGGCAATGATGCTATCCCTGCTCTACTTGACATGCCCAGATAAGCACGTTCAAGATTACAGGATGCCTGGATATAGAGGCATTTAAGCGCCGTTCCAGCACCTCATGTGCCCAGGGCTGTCCGAAGCAATCTGGCACACCCCTCCTATCCCAAATACATCCCCAGACATGCTTTAGGTTGCTAGCCCCAGCCAGCTTACACAGGGGAGAGAACAGGAGATGATACAACAGAAGACAGCTGGGTTTTCCCCTGTTACCAGAAAAGCGACAAAGCAGGTACTGAACTTATATCCTTCCTCGGGTGCCATATGGAAAAAAACCTTTTCAAACAATGTGGTTTTTGATACAGGAGGGAAATTTCATTTAAACCAAACATGGTCTCTAGCCAGTGGTTACACAACTGACTTTGACCTTCCCAGTGCTAAATGCTGTGTCAGCACTGCCTGAAAACCCCCCCTGCATATAAAATACAGCTATAGTCTGATTTATGTCAATACCAATCTACAACACCACAGATACCTCAATAATAAACCCAGTTCTGGTCACACTTCAGTTTTGTGTTTTGTTCTTTTGAGAAAGAAAAAATGTATTATCTGTAAAAAGAGGTTTGAATTGTGAAAATGTCAGATCCCATAGCTGATGCCCACCATCTCAGGGAACCAGAAGACTTCAAAATCCAGCTCAACAGACCCCACCACAGTCCCATGATGACAAGAGATGAAAGAAAGGACAGTCCAGCTATTACCACAAATGTGAACAAAATTTTTGCTGCTCATACAGGAAATGAAGACCTGACCACATCGGTGTGACATGTTTCTGTGCCTCATGTTGACTATTCACTGCTCTAAGCAGCTTCTTGGCAAAAGGCAAACAGAAGCATGGAGAACTTTTTTTTTTTCCCTTCCCTACCCTTTTTCCTTTCCCTTCCGCTCAGTGACCATTTCAAATGTATTTATTGTGGCATGAGTGAGTTTTTTTGTTTGTTTGTGAAGTATAAATTCTAATTGTAATTGCTGAGCAGAGGTAATTTGTGACTGGTGAATGGTCTGGCATGGAGGGCAAGCAGGCCCAACAGTAGCAGGGGTTGAACTGGCTGGAAGCAGGGGTGCCAGAGACAGAACGACACCCTGCAAGGGAGTGAAGTTTCCCTTGGTGACAAGAAAGAGCCACAGCTTTGTCTTGTGGCCATCCTAGAATGGGAGCGCACAATGGCCACCTTTGGGCAGCAGCACTGGGCTGGGGGATGGACCAAGAGCCGGGCTGAGATGCCCCATGCAGGCACTCTCGGGATGGGTGCTGGGGCTAGCGGATATAAGGAATCTGCTACTTGATGCGTCTTTGCAGACTCCATGTAGAACCACTTCTGGCGGCAGGACCCTGCCCAGTGCACTATTCATTAATATTTTCTTTATATTTAAGCATAAACATGTGTTCAATTTCCCGTTATGGGTACCATAAGAATTCTCTAACATTTGCTTTGATTTATTGGTCACAGATGCCTTAATCGACGTCAGTCCTCTAACATTCTTCAGTTTCTAAAGCTAGGACCTAAAGTGACAAATGCATAAATCCCTGATTTTTGTAGCCATAGTCAGAGCTACAGATAGCTGCTCTGTAGCAGATAACAACTTTGACTTTTCTCCTTATTCCCAGGTTTACAGTCATTGAAGGAAGCAGTGAAGAACAGCATGTAGGCTGACTTCAGATAAAGACACAAAACATCCAGTTACATAATTCAGAAAACACAACGCAGTTTAACACTGCTATTTTGCAGGGTTTATTTATTAATCCTTATCAACTAATTTCCTTGAGTTTATTCGGGAAAAATTAAAAATGCTCAATAATTCACTTTAGAAAAGCAGCCAATGAATAGAAGTGTCTAAGGTGCTTAATGGCCTCCATTACCACAGTATTTAATCATGTCATAATCCTTAGTATTTAATCATCACTACTCCATTGTAAGATAAGAAAATGCTCTTATCACCATTTTACAGAGAGGGGACAAAAGCAGAGGAGATAAAATGACTGCCCTTAGGTCACAGTAGAGCCTGTGGCACAGCCAAGATTTACCTTTCTTCTGGACCAGATTTTTCTGGATTAGTCAATAATCTTCACATGAAAAAGCTCAATGATATACGCTTAGGTCCTGATTCTGCAGAAGCTCATTCATGATAGCGTTAAGAAAACACATCACATGTCTGACTCAGCCCCATTTAAAAACTCCTGCTTGATTTTAGAGCAAGCTTGACAAGCTGGACTCGAACAATTGGTGTGTGTTTTTTCCTCAAAGCAAGCTATTTAAATGGATTAATTCTGTAGCACTTAACACCTGTCCCTCACCACA